CACAGTCTGACAGGGGCCCGACGGTTTCCTCTGGAATTCAGGGGTGGGGGGTCCCTCTGAATGCCAGAGGAAAGGAGAAATAATATCACAGTATTTTGACAGTTCTTCTTGTGTTTTGATTCGTCTAAAGCAGAGCGGGGCCTCCCCGGAGGGGCTCCGAACACAGCAGCCTACATGTGTGTGACCTGGTCAAAGAGAGTTCAGTTTTCCCACTTTATCAGAGTCAGAGACTAATAAACTCCTCAAGACCTTTTTATGTATTTGGTCCGGAGTTATCTCAAACTGAGTGAAACTAAGACTTTGAAAACCCCTGCCAGTATTCTTTTTGAACAAAAGAAGCCAAAGCTGTCGGACGTTAAATGTTGGGCAGAGAAACGCTGATTTAAGTCAGGAAGTCTCAGATAAAAGAATAATTAGATCCCATACTGACTTACAGAACCGCAGATACGTTTGATATTCAGCCCCGTCAGTCGAACATTAGGGTGAGAATAGGTGGTTTTCCTGTGCGTATATGAGTCAGTGAACGCACCGTGGCCTGGTTCTGTTTAACAAGTTTAATTTAAGAACTGAATCATCGGACAGAGTTAAATACGTTGTTGTAAAAGCCCTGCAGGTAACCCCCCCCCCACACACACTTCTCTTTAAAGAAGCAGGTGACTGAAATTAAAGGTTTAAACTTCTCATCACTGTTGGGGACCACAAGGATTTCTTTATATATAATTAGAACGACAGTATGGTTGAGGTTATTGGCCGATGGTTACAGATCTGTGACAGGAAGTGATCTCCCTGCAGTAAGATCCTTGGAAGCTGTTCAAAGGTCAAAGCGACGCCGCCGACTCACCTGGTTGTTGTGCGGCATCCCATAAAGAGCCTCCACCAGGTCGGCTGCTCGCTTCAGCAGCACCTCCTGAGAGAGGGAGGGAAAGACAAGGGGGGGGGAGAGTTCACAGGATTTAGAAGCAGCACAGCGACTTTGTTTCCGTACACTTTCTGTTGAACCAACACGTCCTCACTCCCAAGTCGTCACAAATACACGCACGGTCAGGAGCCTTTGGCGTCAGTTTGTAACGCCATGGGCAACGTCTGGATAAGCTTTCAAAATAAGCCATTTTGAAACGGCACGTTGGTAACGTTAGATTGGTTAGGTTTAGGAAAAGGTCCTGGTTTGGTTAAAATAACTATGTTACGTCCGTCAGTTAACTTGCGTACGTTAGGGTAACTTAAATAAAAACATTTAATGCTCTGTATTTGTATAGCGCCTTTCTAGCCTTTGCAACCACTCAAAGCGCCGTTACACTACGTCACATTCACACACTGGTGGAACAGCCACCAGGAGCACCTCAGGGTTCAGTATCTTGCCCAAGGACTGTTTGACATGCAGCCTGGAGGAGCCGGGGATTGAACCTCCGATCTTTCGATTAACAGTCAACCCGCTCTACCTACGGTGCCACAGCCACTAATGTTAGCTTTTTGTTTCACAAGGGAAACAAACACTGGTTTCCTGGTTCAAAGTCTGGTTTCTGGTCCTCCATCACCAGTGCGTTATAAACTGACGCCAATGGATCCATATGTGATGAGCTGGGAGTAAGAACGAGTAGGTGGGGGAGGATGGTGGACCAGAATCCGGACTGACACCCAGGACCCAGTTTCCAGTGTGAAACAAAAAGTCAACATTGAATGTTTTTAGTTTAGAACATTTGGTGCCTAAAAACCAAATTGCAACGTTTCACAATGTTAACAAGTACTTTTATTTTGAAAGTCTAACCAGATGTTGCATATTCATTTAGCTGACGCTTTTATCCAAAGCGACTTACAATTGCTGTACATGTCAGAGGTCGCACGCCTCTGGAGCAATGAGGGGTTAAGAGTCTTACTGAGGGACATAACGGTGGATGGGTCTTTCACACCAAAGGCATGCGTCTTATCCACTGCTCCATCACCACCACCACCACTAACTTGACCGCGGAGCCCTACACGCTGAAAAAGGGCGCTTTTCTAAAGGGCACCCCTTTGTCAAGGGGTCTTGACAAAGGGGTCCATATGTGACGCGTTGGGAGAGAGAATGTGCTGGTTAAAAATTTCCGTTACACTGAACTTGATCCATAAAAAGTCAAAGGAGTGCAAACTGCAGAATTTTAAACATCAAATATTCACGTTTGGAGCAGGACATTTAAAAAATGACTTTAACCACGTGGACCCAGGCACCTATTTCAAGGAAAAAACCAAAATAAATCAGTAAAAACTCCTCAACCATCAGGCGTAGATGCATAACTCTGGTCTCCTTTGAAAGGTCAGAAGCTGAGGAATATAAATCCATCCGTACATTAACATATTCATTTTACCATTAAAGTAACTACATGGACATGCAATACAGAAACATTTTCATCCTCGCCTGGTAAAACAGCAATAAACCATCAAAACCATCGTAAGGTAGATTATAAAGCACCTGAATATCTTCTAATCCACCTGGAACACAACTGTCACTGTCAATCTGACGACAGAAACAAAATTTATCAGCTAAGCCGACCTCACCAAGATGGCGGCCCGCCAGACGGTCTTTGTTGACACAAACGGCTGCTGTTTTTGGACGGAACAGCAAAAATCGATTACCAGGCAGATCCGGTACCAAGAGGTTAAACATGATTCTATCAACGCAACAGTTCCTGACTAACCAATGATCTAATCCGACCAATCATAACACTGCAATCTGAAATGATTCAGATTTACTGGCAGACACCACGAAGCACGTTCTTCTCACTGTGACAACAAAACCTCTGAACTCAGGTAGCAGAACAGCCTGTTTCCCCCGACAGAGGACCAGCCAATCAGCAGCCTGGATCTCATTTCTACTCAGACTCACACCGGTGGGTTCAAAATGGCCGCTGATGGAGGCAGATGCAGAGAGACGGACGGATGAAGGGATGAACGTTTGTACCCGGAGGGGAGGAAGAGAGAGGAAGAGTCAGCAGGAAGCCATTAACTCTCTCTCTCTCTCGCCCCGGGGCTGTTTTCCCATCAGCCCACAGGAGAGGAAGAGTCTAACCTAAGCGCCAGCAGCAGATCGCGGCGGCGACGGCTATTAATAACAATAACAGGCCTGATAACAAGATAAACACACATTCAGGAGGAGGATGGTGTGAGGGTCAGAGGGGGAGGAAGAGAGGGAAGACGTTAAAGGAAAGAAAAAGATGAATGAAAATAGGAGGAGAGAGGAAAAGGAAAAAGGAGGGAAGGAAGAAAGGAAATAAGGAAAAGGAAATAACACAAAAGAGGAAGGAAGGGGAAGACAAGGAACTAGGAAAGAAAAAGGAGATGAATGGACAGGAAGGAGATAAGACCAGAAAAGATCACTAGGAAAGGAAGGAGGGAAAGGACAGGTAATAAGAATAAGGAAAGGAAATACGAAGGAACAAAAGGAAACTAATAATAAGGAGGAAAGGAAATAAGAAGAAGGCAAGGAGATAAGGAAAAGGAGGAAAGGAAATAAGAAGGGCGAGGACAGGAAATAAGGCAATGAAATAAGGAAAAGGAGAAAAGGAAATAAGAAGATGAGGAAACAAGGTGAGGTAAAGGAGTGAAACGGAGGAAGAAGAGAAAGTAAAGAAACTCCCAGGAGGCTGGATGAAGGTGTTTTTTCACACTCCAGCCTCTCAGGTGGAAACACATCACACAGAGAAACCTGAGGATGATCAGCTGACAGAGAGGAGGAGGAGGAGGAGGAGGAGGTGTTGGGTCCCTGAGGAGCAGCAGTGGGGAGGTGGAGGCCTCTGCTGGAGCTCCCTGAGGTATTACAGCACAGAGGAGGGCGAGAGACACTCGCACAGACAGAGAGAGAGAGAGAGATCATGTTGTTTCTGTGTACTTTACCTCGTTTACTGTCTAATAATATATAAAGGCAATAAAAGAAAAGAAAAAGGGAATAAAGACGAACAGAGAGAGAAGAAATGAAAACAAACGCTCAGCTCTAACTGCTCATGAAGACCATGAGATGTGGATGAAAGCTCCTGGGCTTTTGAGCGGGATCAGTAAAATGTACATTTATTATTATATTAAATAAACAATGTATTCATTACATATTATATTTTAGACATCTAGTTAATATGCAGTTCATTCTGTTTAATGTTTAACATGTACTTGACGAGCACTGATGGACATATTATATTACTGGATGTGTGTAATATTGATATTGTGCATATGTCATTTAGATTTTATTATATTACAGTATATTATCATTGTACAATTTATATTAATTAATTCTACTATTCTCTTATTTTAGATTTGATTTAGTCCGTCCTCCTTTTCGTATATAATTTGGCCTTTTCATAACTGTATTTGTTTTCTCATCATCTCTCTTTACACTTTATTAACAACTAATGCTGTTTCTCTCGCTAAACTTTGTTTGTTATCCAGTAAAAATGGTTTCTTTTAATTACTATTTAAATACCTTATTTTGTTCTTTGTGTCCTGTTATGAGTAGCAGTGAAGTACTTTGTAAAGAAAACTCACTGAACCTCTCAGCAGTACTTCAGTCCAGTACTTGTTTCCACTTTATGAAACATTTGGCTTTTACTCCACGCCGTGTCTTTACACTGAGTTATTTGATGTAATTCCTTCTTAAACTATACAGAGGTACACAGAAGTACTAACATAGTAGTTTGTAGTAGTTTTTAGGATTTATCAAGGCGGCCTTCTTAAAACATACTTTTATAGGAGAGCCTTTCCTGATTTTATTTTACATTCCTCTGGATGAAATCTTTAACTCCGTGGCCTCTGAACAAACTGATGAAGACCACATGTGGATGACTGAAAGCGCCGGAACAGCCACAGAATCTTTTTCTTTGATTAAAATTCATAATGCAGAACTTTTTTACAGTGTACTACTTTACTGTGACGGAACTGCTTCCCTCACAGGAGTCTTTGAACTCAACATTAGAGATGCAGACGCTGTAAAACCTCTGATTCACCTGCTGCTTCGTCACGTCGGCTGAAGTTTGCCGTTCAAACCTGTGGATGTGATTTCTGCTGAAGACAGAATGTGAGCTGCTGTGACGGGCAGAGATTAGAGGGGATTTCTGCTGCGCTTTTTTATATTTATATAAACACACTTTGAATTGCTGGTAGAGCAGCAGCGTCCAAACAAACGTCTCCTGTGACTCACAGAAACAGTCGCCATTAACCACAATGTTTCCCTCCCAGCCAATCGGAGCGCTTCCTCACTGCTGGCAACAAACCGGCCTTCGACAGGGAACTCACACTCAGCCCTCATTTCCCACGGCAGACGCTGACCTCGGAGGAGACGATCCAACACACTGAGATGGAAACAGATCAAAATCCAGAGCTTTTTCTCCCCAAAAAACTTTTCACGGCCTCCAAACTGAAACTCGCTGACAGGCAGCAGGAGCGTCAGGTTCTCAACCAACACTGACACGTTAGCCGTCTCTGTACTTTATTCTGTATTTGTTGACAGACGAATCAGCGGTTTGTATTCAGATGAAACATTTGTTCTGCTCTCAGCTGTTATATATATAATATTCTCTGACACAGCAGCCACATGTTTGCTTTTCCCACAGCAGATGTTGGCAGTGAACGCAGCACCTTTTCCCACCAAAAAGACCAACCAACAAATGGGGCGAATCTCCGCCGTAACCTAAACTGTAACCTAAACTGCACCCTAAGCCTTAACCTAAACTGTAACCTAAACTGTAACCTAAACTGCACCCTAAGCCTTAACCTAAACTGTAACCTAAGCTGTAACCTAAACTGTAACCTAAACTGCACCCTAAACTGCAACCTAAACTGTAACCTAAACTGTAACCTAAACTGTAACCTAAACTGTAACCTAAACTGTAACCTAAACTGTAACCTAAACTGTAACCTAAACTGCACCCTAAGCCTTAACCTAAACTG